GAGGACATCCACCGAACATTGTTTGCTATTTTCTGCTGACCAAAAATCTATGCACACCAACTCCATCGGGGCTGTGCTCTTGATATTCTCCAAAGGGGCACGAGCAGCAGGTTCTGGTGACTTTGCAAGGACACACCTTCGACAGCATTGAACATATTCTCTGATATTCTTTTCCATATCAGGCCAATAAAAGCGTTGTCTTGCAAGTGAAATAGTACGGTCCTGCCCTTGATGGCCTGCGAGATCATGGATACCAGACAGAGCTTTGTTCCTCAGACTATCAGGCAGTACATACTGTAATCTTTTCCTTTTAGTCAAAGGGTCTTTCGTCACTCTATATAACACATCATCTCTAACTTCCAACTTACTCCACTGCTTCAACAGTCTTATTACTTGAGCACTTGCACCATGCCTTTCTCTTCTTGATGGACGTCTCTGTCTAATCAAGAATGACAACACCTTGGATATAGTCAGATCTTCCTGTTGACTGTCCTTGAGCTCCTGGGCAGAGTGCACTGGTAAAGTCTCCTGACAACCCGATATCATCTGAACATGATGGACTAAATGAAGGGCTCTTGACTCTGCTCCGTCTGTCCAACTGCAGTGTGACTGACAAAGAGCTTTGACTTCATCCACGTTGTAGTCAACACTTTGCGAAAGACACTCCATGGGCTGATTTGGCTGAATATGGCTACTGACCCTGAAAACATCGTGAACGGAATCTTCGCCTATCCCACTGGCCTCCTGCATCAAGTAAGAATACGGCTCATTCAACAGTCTCCGTCCAATTGGCTCAACAAAAGGGTCGCGACTCAAGGTGTCCGCCACAACATTAGCTTTTCCGGGCAAATGTTTCAGGTCAAAAGTGTATGCCGCCAGTTTGGAAACCCATCTCAACTCATAAGCATCAAGTTTTGGCTTAGTCAGAATATATGTGAGAGGGTTATTATCCGTCCAGATGGTAAATTTGTGGCCTTTCAGCCAATGGCTGAACTTCTCACATACACTCCACTTTAGAGCCATAAATTCTAGTCTATGAGCAGGATATCTGCGCTGCGATGTACTGAGGGTCTTGCTTGCAAAAGCAATGGGTCTGGCTTGTAGTTCACCTTTTGGCACTTGGGACAATACAGCCCCTAGCCCGTCCAATGAAGCATCAACAGAAAGAATGAAGGGCTCATTGAAGTCAGGATGTGCAAGCATGACACACTCCAGTAAAGCAGTCTTAAGTTTGTCAAAAGCGACCTGACACTCTGTAGTCCAATCTGCAGGGGTAAGTTTACGGTAAGTGCCTTGAAACTTCCTTTCCTTAGACAATTTTCCTCTTCTTTTCTGTCCAGCTGTAAGGCCGAAAAGAGGTTTAGAGATAGATGAGCAGTTTGGAATAAAGTGTTGGTAATAAAATACCATGCCAAGAAAAGACTTAATCCTTTTGACAGACGGTGTGCAGCCATCATTATCCATCAGATCATGAGCAGTCATCCTTGTGATGACCTCCACTTTTGCTGGATCAACTGACACACCTCCACTGTCAATGATATGGCCAAGGAATCTTACTTGACTTTGAAGTAGATGACATTTTTTAGGTGAAAGTTTCAGATTGTTCTCCCTCAGTCTATCAAACACTGTACGCAGTCTGGACAGAGCCTCACTTTCAGATGGTGCAAAAACAAGGAGATCATCAAGGTAACATAGAAGCTTTGAAAAGTTCAAGTCTCCGAAGATCCCAAGCATCATTCTCATGAAGGAGGCTGGACTATTACAAAGCCCCTGAGGCATTCGATTATATTCATGAAGGCCTAGCGGTGTAGTAAAAGCCGTATATTTTTTGTCCTCCTCACTCATTGGAATATTATAAAACCCTGACGTGAGGTCCATAGTGCTGAAGAAGCAGTTTCCTCCAAGCGCAGCCAGGCAGTCAGCCTGGTGAGGCAAGGGGTGTGCGTCTTTCATAGTTCTGGCATTTAACCACCTGAAGTCTGTGCAAATACGCAATCCACCATCCTTTTTCCACACCATCACTAATGGTGATGCGTACTCACTTGAAGACTTCCTGATGATACCTTTTTCTTCCATGTCAGTGAGAACTTGCCTTAATTTTTCATAGTGGGCAGGAGGTACTCGCCTATAAGGCAATCGAAAGGGTCGATTATCCGTCAGTCGTATTCGGTGCACATATCCAGTGGCTTCACCACAGTCCAATGGATGCTTGGAGAAGATGTCTTGGTAATCAGCTAGTAACTGGGTAAGTTGAGATTTACAATCATCACTTATCTGACTCCAGTTGACGTCAATTTCCTCAAGACCCAGGTTCAGCAGATTTTTATCAATGTGGTCAGCTGCACAGGAATTACATGAATCATCTGACTTGTTTTCCACTAGAGTAATGTGCAGTCCCTGAAAAATCTCAAAATCTTCAGATGCAATACACGGAAACACATCAGCCATTTTGCTGTTCCTCTTCAATGTGATCACTTTATTTGTCGGATTCATAACTGTCATAGGCACCCACCTGTCACCCCAAAGTGGTACAACAAGACGACCAACTAGAATGTCTCGAGGCATAGCTTTTGAATTGGTCGGCTCAACGATCACTGTGCTGCCTGGCGACATGGGCACATTAGATGGCAAACGGCCCCAGACCAAATGTTCATGCTTTGGTAAAAGTACCACCGCTTGAGTGAGTTTGACAGTGCCTATTTTGTCAGGAACAGTTTCTCCTTTCCAACGCTCAACACCCGTAAACATTGACAAGAACTGCTGAACGTCTTCATCAAACTTATTGTCAGGTCTAGAAGCAATGTCCCAATAATCATTGTTGTTCTTCAGCTCATGAATTAAGTGTTTAATGATATTAGAGCCCAGAATAAGATCATCACGCTGGCCAGGCACGACCAAGCAAGGTGCAACACACCGAGTGTCAAAGAACTGGATCTCCAAATCATAGAAACCATCAGGCTGGGTTTGCTGACCTCCACAGCCGATCAAGACAATCTTTTCTTCTGAATGCTTTTTTTCAGGCAAAATGCCTGCAGAACTAATTTTCTCCACAGCATGTTTACTGATTGTGCAAGCCATAGAACCGGAATCAATCATTCCGTTAAGAATAACGTGGCCATTGACACGAACAGGAACATAGAAAAGGCTACTGAAGGCTTCGACTTTCTGACTAGATTGTACAACTATCTTGGTCCCTCTAGGAGCACTATTACAGTTTTTCTCATAGAGCTGGGCAAGATCGCATTCTTCATGAAGGTATTTAGTATCCATACCCACATCACCCCTTCCATAATGCGGGTTCAATAGTTTAACTGGTTAGGTGGTCTGCCAGCCCCACTTTCCAATTGATGCTGGTTACAATCAGCTCGCTGAGGGCAGTCCTTTTTCCAGTGTCCAGGAGTTAAACACTTCAGACATCTGTTATCCTGTCTACAATGTGACACCGTTGAATGATCCAAAGATCTACAAACCCTGCATGGTTTGCGGTAAGTCTGAAATGTTGTAGCTTGATGATGTGGGCTAACTTGGAATTGGGTCTGTTGAGTGACAAGACGGTCCAATAGACTCACTAGACTTTTCATGCAAGCACTGTCACTGCCAGACTGCACCATAGGAGAAGGTGGAATGGACAAAGGAGAGTTAGAAGCAACTGTCTCAACAACATCAGGACTCTGAGTGCAAGCTCTATGTTCAGTTATATTCAAACTGCGTAAATTAGTGAAAGTCCTAGCTTTCCTCTCTTGCATATGTTCATCAAGTCTCTCCTGTATCTCACCAGCTGACCATTTCTCTGCTGATTTGAATTTGAAGACATTAGAAAGAGACTTATCTGGGCAATGCTTAATAAACATCATGCTGATTTCATGACTTGGATCACAAACGCGCCGACCTTGTCTCTCCAGGCATTCCTTGGCAACATCCATTGTCTTGTTCAGCCTGATCCAATACTCCATTGCATCTTCAGATGGCATCGGTAAAGTATTGTAAAAATCGGCTAGGGGCATACTAGAATAGGAGATGGTGCTGAAATGCTGTTTTAAAATGTCAAAGATCAAGCGAGGTTTACTGGTGCAGTCAGCAGATGTGTTATTACACAATTTAATTTTCACTACATCACCTGCTTTCCCCATTAGCCTATCCAATATTTCTTGTGACTGCTCATCAATCGGAATAGCACGTTTTCTCAGATACAGGGACATAATATTTTCCCACTCTTGTACAGTTAGTTTATCTGAACCATCGCCCCTAAATATTGGTGGCTCTTTTACATCTGACTGCATCACTAGTTTGACATTAGACAGTGTCATCTCAGCTGGCTGTTCAGAATTACTACGGTTTGTACTGTTATCAGAACGTAGCTGAGCAGTAATAGACTGTCCTAATTTTTCAGCTATTTCACTGATGAGTGAACTCAAATCTGGATTTTGGTTAATCGGAGATGGCATGGCACGATCAACATATCTTGTAGAAGTCAGAACAGGTGTATCAAATGCTCTGCTAGTAGGCCCTGGCATCCTAGGTTCAGAAGGTATTCTGAAAAAACCCCTTCCCCTACCAAACTGGATACTTTGGTCAAACACCTCATTGTCCTTCATCTCTTCAGCAAAGCTATTAACGCCTTCTGCCATATTGCTGTATTGTACCAATTAATTATCTTCAAATTTAAATCAATAAATGAACTGAAATATTGTACTGAACAATGGCAATCAATAACAGTAACCAGTCAGCAAATGTATATTTCAAAAGTCCGAATTCAGTTCGAAAATGTCTTCTGTGAGAGAAAAAAAATGTATATAGTCCACCTCACTTTATATAAAATAGTCCTTTTGTCTTTGAAAAGTACCTAAAACCAGTCCATGCAGCTTCCACGGCGAGCGAGCAGACGTCGGTCTTCAGATGGATCCTTAAAAGGTCACGGCACCATTGTAACGGGTCCCACAGGAGTGGAATCCGTCCTGCGTTGTGTTGTTGTTTTTCAATAAAGGACTCCAAACCTCTTACCGCTTGGCACTGTCTTTATTTTCTGCACAAATAGAAAATGTGTTGAAAACATGCATTCTGTGATTATGATCTTCATTAAACAACCGTTTAATGTCTCCATTAACCACGAGACAACCTTCTCTCAGCTCAGAAGGAAGTGAACTGCGATAGCGATTTCTTGAAAGAACATGTATTAAACTAATCTGCTTAACATAAGACTAAATTAATATTAATGACATGAAATCACAAAAACTACCAACAATACAAAAACATACCTGCACAAATAGAAAATGTGTTGAAAACATGCATTCTGTGATTATGATCTTCATTAAACAACCTGTTGGCACACGAGGAGTAATTAAAGCATGCTAATATGTGCTAATCTCACTCACAAATGCAAACGATCTCAATCACAACCATTTAGAACCACAGTTTCATATTTCCACATCACAGAGTATGTTTAGCGAAGCAACAAACATTTTAGATTTAAAATATACAATCAACCGTCAATAATATTACCGTTTAATGTCTCCATTAACCACGAGACAACCTTCTCTCAGCTCAGAAGGAAGTGAACTGAGAGAGCGATGAGCGCGCACACAAACGAGTATACACTCTTAAAGTGACAGTACACTTGAACAGGTCCTGAAAGTCACATACAAGCATGAACTCAAAACGATAAAATAATATATATAATAATATCAAATGAAGTAAATTAAAGTTATACTCAATAGAAAAAAGGATTTTGAGTGAAAATAATATTACCAAAATAACTCTGTTACATAAGCAAACAAATCACTGATGTTCTCATTCACAATGGCGACACAGGGTTTCCCATAAAATGATTTATTTGTAGTAATGTTGGAGTTTTCACATGAACGTATATTTAAAGGCGAGCAGTTGTCTATTGAAAGTTTAATTTCTTCTTTTAAGTTTAATTGTCTTCATGAAGAAAACTTGTTTCTTTTCTGAGATTAGTCCATCAAAATAAATGTGTAGTGTTTTAAAACCAAAGTCTTCATTTGTTACCCACAACACATCAATATTTGATCAAGTCAAAATCTTATAATCTGAAACAAATCTCATCTGTCGTAACTGACAAAAGGCATTGTGTAGTCTGAACAGGCTTTTAGTGAGTCTTAAAGATAACGACGAAGATAGCAGAGGTAAGAATCTCTTGTCCTTTATAGGGAGTCAGGAATCATCTGATTGGTGAATGGTGTTAGCCAATGCTGGACCAGTCGTGAACAATAATAAGCATGTGATCCTCTCGAAAGTAGTTTATAAATAAACTTCATGTCAATGAACAGCCAAACTACATGAAAATGCTGCCGTTTTGAATATACTCGTGTTTGTGTGAAGGTCTCAATGTTGAGGACTCTGCTCTGCATTGTGAAGCTTCATGTGAGCACTAAGGTTTATTTTTTGTTTAAAGCTCTTTCCACACTCACTGCATCTAAAACGATCCTCTCTTGAGTGAGTCTTCATGTGTTGCTTAATGTAGTCTTTGCGTGTGAGACTCTTTCCACACTGATCACATATGAACACTATGATTCCAGAGTGACCATCCATGTGGTTCATGAGGTTAGCTTTACATGTGAAGCTCTTTCCACACTGATTACATGCAAACAGCTTCTCTCTGGTGTGAGTTTTCATGTGGTTAATGAGTGAGCTTTTACATGTGAAACTTTTACCACACTCTGTGCATGTGTAAGGTTTCTCTCCAGTGTGGATCGTCATGTGGGTGTCAAGCTTTTGTTTTTGAGCAAAACTTTTCCCACACTGAGTTTTTCCTTCATTGTGAATTCTCATGTGGCCTTTAAGGGTGCCACTTTGCTTAAAACTCTTTCCACACTGTTGGCATGTGTAGGGCTTTTCTCCAGTGTGAATCCTCTTGTGCGCTGCAAAGTTTCCTGCATAATAGAAGCTTTGTCCACACTGTTGGCATGTGTACGGCCTATCTCCAGTGTGACTTCTCATGTGGCCTTTAAGTGTGGCACTTTGCTTAAAACTCTTTCCACATTGTTGGCATGTGTACGGCCTCTCTCCAGTGTGAATTCTCATGTGGCCTTTAAGGGTGCCAATTTGCTTAAAACTCTTTCCACACTGTTGACATGTGTACGGCCTCTCTCCAGTGTGAATTCTCATGTGGGTCTTTAAGCTTCTCTTTTTACCAAAGCTCTTTCCACACTGTTCGCAAGTGTAAGGTTTCTCCCTAGTGTGAACTCTCCTGTGAACACCAAGGTTACGCTTTTGAATTAAACTCTTTCTACGCTGTTTACTGCTAAAATTACACTCAGTTTTGGATTTCCGAGGTCTTCCGAGTGATGAAGTCTTTTCAGTCAGTGTGGGTTTTTCATCAGCTGTTATTTCTTGGTGTTGCTCTTCCATTTTATTGCATTGAGTCTCTTCTTTCAGCACTATCAGGTCTAAAAAAGAAAAAAGAAAAGTGAACTTTAGTATGAAGGCACAAAGCGACAAGCATGAAATGGATGTTTCACCCAAAAATTAAAATGACCTCACCATTTACTCTGCGTCTTTTAAATATTTCCTTTCTTCTGGAACACAAAGTAAGCCAGCATTTTTTCACAATATCTTCTTTTGTGTTCAGCAGAATCAAGAAACTCAAAGATTTAAAGCCACACGAGGGAGAGTAAATGGTGAGGCTATTTTCATTTCTGCGTTAACTATCCCTTTAAAGGGTTCCTATTATGAACCTTTTTTACAGGATGTAAAGTAAGTCTTTAATGTTTCCAGAATGGGTCTGGGGTTTCAGCTCAAAATCAGATCATAAACCTTGCAGAATATTTCATTTTGGGGGTCAGAGGAAAACCCAGCTCTTTTTGTGCCTGTGGCTTTAAATGCAAACGATCAAATGCACTCGCTCTAGATTACTCCTGTTGTGTTCCCTCATGCGTGTCTTCCAATCAACATTTTTAACTTGCTTGGAAGACCTAATTGAGACAAATCCTGCATGTTCATAGCAATTACGGATAATTCAGCTTATATTTGTAAGTTTGCATTATTGTTTATAACTTATGCAAATGTTTCCCTCTACTGGGTTGCAGCTGGAAGGGCATCCGCTGTTTAAAACATATGCTGGATAAGTTGGTGGTTCATTCCGCTGTGGTGACCCCTAATGAATAAAGAGACTAAGCTAAAGGAAAATGAATCAATGAACTTATGCAAATGCTTAATGCCACATTTGCTTTAAACTGTAGTGATGAGAATATGGCAAGATGACATACTTTGCTACTTGTTTTCATTCATTTGTACTTTTGTCTCAGTTTTCTTGCCTTTGTGCATGTCCCGAGGCTTAGCTGAAGACCTATATGGTGACATTTTATATACCCGACAAGATGCAGAAATGCCATTTTAAAAAGGTTACCTGCTGTTTGTCTAATCGGGAACAGTGACAATGTAAATATACAAATAAAAGCATTACCCCAGGGTTTACCAATGTGAAACGTCTGTTAATGAACACCCAGGATTATTTTATAACCTCTAGGGGCTGTTTCATAAAAGTGGTTTAAAAAAGCGGGAATTAAAGTCAAAAACTTGACTTTAGTGAGCCGAACTAAATGTCCACACTTTAATTGGTTCCATAACTGCAAGTTGAAGATCATTTGATGTAACTAATCTGAGTTCAGCTTAAATAATCTAGATAACTACTCGTGCACGTTACTGTCATGAAACCCTGAAGGTCGAGCACAGATGCATCATTATGATTATGTTGTATGCTACCTTGGCAACTACGATGAATGAAAGAGCTCTGAAACAAGACACCACAATGTTCACAGCGAGGGCATAGCATTTGATTCAAATATAAGTTCAAATATATAATAATTTAAACAATCAAAAAGTACGGCTTGAAACAAAGCAAGAAAGAGGGCTGACAGGAAACTGCAGATTTTAAAATATAGGTCATTATTTAGGCCTATTAACAATAAGTTAAATATTTGTCACAATACATTGAAATATTTGCTTGTGCGCAAGAGAGAGAAAACACGCTCACTGCAAATTGTAGCTTGCAAGGAAAAGTCTTAATGCATTGGAGGTATACTGTAACATTCAAAATGTACTTAACGTCAGCACAATAAGTTTCAAATAATGGCCACAAAGAGGCGTGCACACACAAGCAGTGGGATTTGTTATTTGCTCTCGAAACTGCTGCAAATTGCTGCTTTCTATTTAAAAACATTTGTTGCCCTTTGAAAACATTTGTTTATTTAAAGTGCTGTCAAAATTAGAGGGTTAACTCATGCAATTAATTTGATATATATATATAAAATATTTTAAAAAAATGAATGCAGTTGCTGTTATACTTCCTGTTGTAGTCATGCAAAGAAATATGCATAAGACCAAAGAAGCACTTTTAGAAGGAACGTTTCAGTATAAAATAATTAATGAAAAAAATTAATGCTGCATTACCAGGCTTTCCAGCATTACATCTAATTTAGTACGTTTCATTTTTAATCTTTAGACTTTTGCTGTAATAGAAATTGATACCCCATACCGAACGGAAAGAAAAACCTCCGCATTTCGTGACTCGGTGTTCCTTTAAGGTAATAAAAAAACAAAAAAAAAAAACAACTGTTTACATGGTGGACTCTTAATAAGAGTATTAATCACATTAAAATGGGAGTATTGGTGTCCATATAAATGTACTCAGTGAAAGTGCCAGATAATGTCGCGAGCTGTCCAAGACATCTGCATTCGTCTGCCTTTAAGATGATTCCATGTGCGCTCAAATGATTTATTAAGTTTGATGTGTTTCCTCCTTAAACGCAAATTTTGTACAGCGCCTGCTTCACGTTGCTTTGTCAGAATCCTTGTGAAATACAGCCATACTTAAGAACACATGGTTTAAGCAAATTTGATGAATGCGAACGCATTCGTGTAAATGGGGCCATAGTAGTGACCTGATCTTATATGCTATTGTTTTAGAACCTCCATTTTAGTTGCCTATTGGAGAAATGACCTGGAATAATAAATGGCTACTTGCTCTACAAACAAATGTGTTCATGACTATTCATACAAAGAAAAATAATAAAATGAGAAAATACGACTTTGCAACATCAAGCAGCATTAGACATGGGCCAGTATTAGATTCTGACGGTATGATAAGCTTGGATATAAATATCACAGTTTCATTGTATTGTGATTACTGCTCTAAAATGTATTCTTTTTAATCTCTGGGTAAAAAAAAAAACAAGAACTTTTTCCCTTTGAACACAATATATTTTCTTTTAAGAAACTTTGAGGCTCAGTTTCACAAACAGGGCTTAGATTAAGCTGGGATTAGTCCTTAGTTAAATTAGGCTATTTAAGCCAAATTTATAAAAATGGCTTTAGTAAAATATATTACTGGTGTGCACCTGGAGAAAAAAATACACTGATGTATTTTATCTCACGGAAAGTTATTTTGAGTTGAGACCGCTCAAACATGCAATTTAATCTTGACTAGCCTTAAACCTTATTTGTGAAACCGGGGGAGAAAGTATTATGGGGCAGTAAACATATCAGGCTGAATCATTCAAATGAATCATTCGTTTCAAAAACACAGATTTCTTTACATTTTAAAATGGCATCTTTGGATATATTTTATGCTGGAGATACTGTTGTCCTGAAAAACTTATTACAAAATGTAAAAAAAAAACCTTACATATACTGTCGTACTGTGGTATACCTTGAAAACGGTTATCGTTCCATACTCAAGCAGAATAACCCTGTTTTAAGGATCTAAAAATAAATTCTTTAAAAAAAAACTCTCAAGCAAAAAGATTCCAATGGCGACGCCTGCTGGTACATGAAGAATTTGGTCAATACTGACGAACTTTACACTAGTCAGTGCAATGCTAAACATTATTGTTCCACTATTTTTAGTTTGTTTTGTCTCACGTCATCCCACAGCAACATCTTATAGCTTAGAATACTGTACAATGTTTTATAACAATTATTGTAGTGTCCATTTCATTTAGCATATTTAATATTGCTGGCATCCACATCCTTTGACAAACTGTAAACCAGGGTTTCTGCAGGTTTCTTTTTATGACATTTTTAAGACCATTATGAATGAAATTTTAGACCCATAAAGGGATAAAGCTAAAGAATTTTTCCAATGGTCTAGATGGAAAAGATTTTTATTTGCCCCATTAAAAAAATAAAAAAATAAATGAAAAAAATTTTTTTTTATATATATATATATACACAATAATAAATAAATAAATAATTTTTTATATGTATTTTAGATATTTCTAGCTAAAGATTTTAAATTTTTTGTTTGATTTAGGATCTTAAGACATTTTATGACGCAGCGGAAACCCTGTTTAAACACAATAGCCCTGATAATTAGTTATTGTAATAATGATGTACTTCTAACTCAGATATTATCTGTGAGAACTAGTAACAACTACTAGAAACAAGTTTAAACTCATAAAGAAGTTGATGAAAAAAGGGGAATTGTGATCAACGTGACGTATGCAAATGGAAAGTACTAAGCCAACACTATCACTGTAATAGCAGATATCTACTAGGAGAATACTGTAGGTCAAATATCGTCAGCTCAGTTTAACTTTTTTAATTTAATTTATAAAGCGCCGGTGCTCAAGGACGCTTTACAAACAGCAGGAGAACAAGAAAAGCAATAACCTTAAGAAGGTAGAGAAAATGGGAGACTAATAATACATAAAATAATGACAAAAGACATGAGAACAAGTAACAAGAAAGAAACTCATTTCTGTCTTTCAATGAGTGCTTATGTGCATTTAGGAGAACTAGGCAGCACACTCAGGGCTGCAAGATGGATTAATTTAGTATTCTTATTATTAAAATATATCTGAATGAGGATCAAATGACTGAGTTGGTCTTTAAGAATGAAAACCAACCTGCTTGTTCCTGCAGATCTTCCTGTTTGACTGTGAATGTTTCTTCAATCTTCACATCTTCACTCTCCTCTTTAATAAATGCCATCTTTATAACAGTGTGGAGATCTGTCGCTTCAGCAGGAGTTTTTCCTCTGTCTTTGGACACTTTATCCTGTTTAAAATGAACAAAACAATAAAAATGTCCAGTTGAAAATTTATAAAACAATGAACAGAAATAAAATAACTTCTCTTCAACACTTGCTTCAACAGTTTATTTTAATCAGAGTAATTAACAAAAATAAATCAGGTAAAATGTTTCATTAAAACACGTATTACACACTTTTCTGTTACTTTAGTCAAACAATAGCCCTCGATTTCTGATAATAAAATAGTACCACGTTGTATAAAGGGTTAAAATAATATTTCCAACAGCAGGAACATAATTTAGCATCATTTAAAAATCCTAAAACTTTAGAACATTAACTTTAAATCGGGTTATATCTGTAAAACTTTTAAAGCAAACCTTTCTCCAGTTGAATCACCGCGCTGTAGCGGCGCCACCTGATGACGTCACGCCACGCCAAAATA